ATATATAACAGAAATGATATGATATTCCAGTCAGAAGTGTCCAGCCTGCTATAGCTAACTGCTGCTGTCTGTACTTGAAAATTATCAAGTTATATTTGTGCCAAATATTACATGTACATTGAGACCGATGTGAACAAACAATTATGTCTCCTGAATTAGATTTAGAGTAAATCATCCCTTGAGCTGTTACAGTGCATACGGCAAGACATTTTAACATTTAATCAAATGACACCTCAAGCTAATTATTATTGTAAATACAGTATCAATTATAACATTTCTCTAAATCACAGTAACATTTTCAGAATTGAACTGAAAACTATCCATAACCACATTATTACTAGTCTAGAATTACAATTTCATTAGTAAAAGAACAAGAACTAAAATGTCTGAAAAAATCTCCAAAAGCTGAGCACACAGGAGATACTGAGAGAGCTGAGGGTGCACAAGACACAATAATGTTTGCTTAGATTAATATGAACCTTTATCTCACCGCTCATTCAGCTATGTGGCAGAAATCCATACTGTGATTAAACAAAGAGCTGTTTACAACAGGTAACATGTTTATTGTTTATAGTCTTTCCAGAGAATCCCACTTTAAAAGATTTAAAGTATCATTTAAAAGGACAAATGCGAACTTTTGAAACTTCCGCTAAACAAGAATCCTAATTCCACTAACACTAAATAGATTAAAAAGTAGGGGAAGCTAATGCTAAGCGCTAGGTCAACTGTCAGCCTGTGTCACACATCTTTCATCTGTTTCCAGTTGAAGTTTTCTATTGGTTTAATTTGAAGGGAAGTGGGATCATTCGTGGCAAATTGGCCAATCCGAACCAGGGTTACAGCTCTGTCTAACGTAACACTTCCAGTTTAACCCTTTCAGAATAAACACATTTATCAGATCATTTTCCATTTTTATAAATACTGTTTGAAGTTAATCAAACAACAAGTAGCAAATACTTTCTCCACCATATTTTACAGTCAGTTTTTTTAAAATTATTTAAATATTGTTAACTGTTGTTTTATTTATTTTTGATGCTCTTAGCAGCTAAAGATGCTACATGCTACACATGGTGCCTGACACGCCCAACAATGCTTGTAAGAGGGGATAAGTTTTAATTAATTTGGGATAAATGGAATAATAACAGAAGTTTCACACTTGTGATCTTTTAGCAGAAAATTAGCAGAAGCTAATCGGTCTTATAACGATTTCTAAAGTTAGCAAAAAAAGCAAATCTGCTAAATGAGAATGAATAAGCAGATTAGTGGAACTGTGCCCACCACTGGATACTAATGTTACCAAACTTCATTTTTCAGTTTAAATAAACAGAAACAATCCACAGCAAAGGCACTGTTATCTAATGAGACACTCATCTGATCTGTTTGTTGTTTTAATTTCAGATAGCTCCTTTTATCGAGCCATCAGAGTGTTAGTTATTTTTGAGATTAAAATATGTCCTCTTTGTGTGTAAAAGGAGTCCCAACATGTTGCTGGTAGTGTCCAATCATTTTCAGCGGTAAATGTCTGCTATGATGGATGATGATGCTACAAACCATCGTAGGTAACATAAGGGATCTGGAAGCCTCTGGCGCTGTTGGCCTCGTTGGACTTGAAGTTAATCCACAGACGTCTGGAGCGAGCTGTGAAGGCGATGGGCCGCTCGTACGTCTGACAGGTCTCGTACGTGGTGATGGATGTAGCTGACCCTTCCGCAAACACATTAAAATAAAGAACACTGATCAGATATTTGTTTTCTCGATAAACTAAAGTCTGGCACCAAAGGGAGAGAACTCACAGTTCTTCCTCATCACCAGCACATCTCCACACTCATCCTCTGAAGGCAGGAATATCTCAGGCACCACAATCAGGATCTTGCGCTTGCTGGGAGGGTTGATGTTCCAAATGCACTCCACGTTAGCGGGATAATTACCGGGATAGTTAGGCGACTCAATGTAGCCCATTAACTCTCCCATCTCACCGCCACATTGCCTGTCTAGACAAACAGAAACAAGCCGAATGAGACCAGAGCTCAAGTTAGTGATAAAATCCCGCCAAAACAAAACAGTAAATCGTCTCACTCACTTTTGCACTGTGACACACTTGTGGCACCGTCAAAATCAGTGGTGGTGTTTCCCGGACAGGAGATGCAGTAGTTCTGTCTGAACTCTGTCTGATAGGTCCCCACGGGGCAGCGGATACACCGGTGCACTGTCGTGTTGTAGTAATGGCCTGGAGAACACTGAACTGCAGGGTAGAAAACAGAAACACTAAAGTAAAGGTCACTTTTTCTGTGTTATTATTTTTGTTTTCCTGGACGTATAAAACAAAAACAAGCTGACCTTTGACTTCACAGTCATGGAAGGAGCTGGCACCTTCCCGCTTGGTGCTCAGTCCTCCGCCGCAGGGGAAGCAGAGCGTCCGTCCCAGATCGGGCTGGTAGGTTCCCTGAGGGCAYGGCTGGCAGGGTTTGAAGCCGTCGCTTGAAAAGTACCCGGTTGGRCACTGGCCTTGGATTGGWTTAGACGACCACAGRCTTGTTAMGRACAGCAGTCCTTTRTTAACCCAAAGGCTTTGAAACTTCAAACTGAACTACCTGCACAGGAAGAGATGTTTCGTGCCCCTACAGGCCCATGGCCATCACTCCCAGGGCAGAGGTCACAGGCCAGCTGACCCTCTTTCTCCTGGAAAGTCCCAGGTGGACACTGGACACAGTGCTCCTGTCCCCCGTGGTAGTACGACCCTGRCAAACATTTAACTGAGAGAATATCCAGCTACWGTTAGAGATGGGCAGATGCTTTGCCRGTTAACTACAAGAGGTTTCAGGCTTTCTGGTCWTACCGCATCCAGCACTGGTCCTCTCAGAACCCGGGGCACAGTGGCCCTGATTGAGGGCAGCCTGAGGAAGCTTTTGAGCCACCTCATACTCCAAACCAGCAACTCGGATGAGGAAGCGCTCCTGGTTGATGGACTTCTTCAGAGATTTGATGTATGTTTTTACCTGCCTCTCCATTCGCTGTCGCAGGCAGCTGAGGTTACAACTTCCTGGTCAACGAAGAAGAACAAGAATTGTCAAAACRATWGTGACTTTGACCACWGGTGAAATGTGCTGACTGGACCCCAAAGTGACAGAAAGCTCAACAGGAAGTGAGATGYCTGACCTGTGGTGTCTCCAGGTTTGACCTCAGCTTCCAGCTCCAAAGTGATGCGTGTCACCTCTTTGTTCGAAGGGTTGCGGGTGTGTCGCCCTTTCGCTTTCTTAGACGAGTCACACGTCAGGTTAACAAATGTTACCTGGCAGTTGCTGCACAGCTGACCCCCCCCTGCAGACACAAACAAACACATTTAAGCCCCGCCTCCATTGTCCAGCCTCACTCTGTTTGGTTCACGTCTGTTCGGTGCTGTTCAGGTGTGTGCGTCTCCATGTCAGCGTGACTCTGTGGGAAGATCTTCAGCAAAACAAAAAACRTGTAACTGTGGGCGGTCAGTTTGTCCGAAACCACCAGGATATCTGCTGAATTCTGATGCTTCGTCCAGCTCAAGCTGTATRAATTCAACTATTTCCCCTCTCTCCAGGAAGAGTTTGCAGGAGGAGTTTGAAAGTTCTGCCTCGATTCAGCGTACGCGCGTAATACTTGGTTCTACTTGCTTGGAACCACCTCAGAGGAGGTTCTGAATGTGTGCTTGGAACCAGAAATGATATATATATGACCGAGGAGAACTGTATACAGGAACGCCCGTGAAGAGGGGGCTTTTGATAAATAGTTGCTGCATGGTGGAACGGTTTTTCTGTGTGGAGTTTACACAGTTCAAACACACGTTTAGATTAACTGATGATTCTAAATTGTCACTGTGTCTATGATGTGGGGACCATTTTTTTGCATACACACCTAATTGTGTGGACTGACTTGTACTTATGGAGACCTAAACCTAGTCCACATGGGGTAAAATTCTGTTGGTGGGTCAGGGGTTGGGTTTAGGGTCAGGTTATACCTGTGAGGTTAGGCTTAGGGGGGCATCAGGATTAGGCTATAGAAATTAATGCAAGTCAATGCAATGTCCCTATAGAGATAGCTGTACCAAGTGTGTGTGTGTGTGTGTGTGTGTGTGTGTGTGTGTGTGTGTGTGTGTGTGTGTGTGTGTGTGTGTGTGTGTGTGATGAA